AACGCACTATCACGCGTCATAATGCGCCATATGGCGACGCTGCATGCGGTTCGAGTGGCATTCACGTACGGATCATAGCGGATAGTATAACCTCACATGTGTGTGCAAGTTGAAAGTCCAACGTCGTCGCGTGCTTCGTTAGAGTTGATGCCGATGTGCTAGCAACTTGAGGAGGTATGACGCTGCATCTTGATTTTTCTCGTCGATTTTCTGTGTCGATTTTACTCACGCATCGGAATTATTGGCTGATTTTTCTCTGAATCTCTGAATCTGACTCTTGCATCAGGATCCACGTATCATACGTGGATACGGTACGTACGTGGACATACGTGACGTATAGTCCCAAGCCGATGCGCGTATGTGCCGTACAGAACTTTTGTGATAAGAGCGGCCAGGTATCAGCATAGAATTCGTGGATGTATGCACGTGAGTGCACGCAACTCCGTATCTTTTCAGTGTGAATGCAGTCCGGAACGACTGCATTCACGACGACCGACACAACACCCTTGTGTACTAGTCGAATGTATCGTGCTACGTTATCGGGCAAAGACATGTTAGGAATCAGGCTTAGCGTGTTGATATGGCCTCCAAGACTTCTCTCGTGATCGGACTCTTCTGTCTCCCTGCTGCTGTTTGTCGTCTCATTGAGCTTGGTATGATTGGGGTCACACTGAAGCCCTACGACGGTGAATACACTGCTAGATATGGACAACCCTCCAACCTATATATGAAGGTCACGGTGAACTCCGACGCGGAGACCATCGGGATCCTTTTCAAGTGTGGGCAGAGCAGTACTCCGTATAACCACATATTCAAGTTGGAGTCCGACGATGAGCCAAGTGATCTGATCTTGAAAGATTATATCGACAATACTTCCGTTTACAGGAATATGCTGAATGAATTCCGCCGCCGCTGTCCCCAGTTTGGTAACAGAGCCCCTATCAAGCCGGACTTGGGATGGTTTACGATTCGCGAAGGGTCTCCCCGATCATTAAAGGTAGAGATCTCTGGTGTCGACGTGAAGTTGATCAAGAATTCTGCTCTAGAAAAGATTGAGCTCTTTGACGTTGATGTTTAAGTCTCTTTAGGAGAGCAGCTTCTCATTCGTTATTTGATTCGAGGCGCTCAAATCCAACTCGGCACAGACACATATTCAGCTATTCTTGTGAAGTGCCGGGTTGAAAATTTCTCTGCGTCTCTTTTCTTGGGTGTAACCACCCATGTGTGGTCCAATGGATCAATCTTAAAGGGCCAATGATAATATTTTTCATTGATGAAGTGTTCGTTGCGTAATACTGAGACTTCATTCATTTCATACAAAACATATCCATTTACACCTACATGTCTCGCCGAACGGCACCAACGGCAAGTGTATTATCGTGTCAGTGACAAGACGTCTCAATGCCCTCAGGTACGGGCCTTTACTTGAAGTAACACGATGATGAACTTCCAACGCATCTCTTCACGACTAGCAGAAACCCTTACAGAAACTGGGAAATCATCATGCATGCTTTGTCACGCCCGATATCGTCGTACGCTCTCTTGACCGCTCGTAGTTGTGAGCGCGAGAACTTCACTCGCCCCGACTTGAAGTTTCGTTCGATGTCCTCTAGTACTGCTCTGTTGATGAGATTAAACTTTGCCATAGCGGTGATAACTTGAGTAAGAGAAAGACCATCATAGCGATCTATGTCGACTTCAACGCGGTCCAATGCCCGTTCGAGCGTCGTCTGATGAGGACACTCATTCATTCTAATAAAACATGCTAAAAGGGTTGAAACTGGTCGGGGCGGCCTGAAAGGACTCCACAGAATTAAACCCGATGGCAGCTCTCTACCTTACCATCGCCCAATCTGGACCGCCAGGGAGTCTCCAGCTCGAGTGAACCATTCACTCCGTGTTTCGCGGAACGCTTTTAACTGGTTCAAAGTCGCATGAATGTTATGCTC